CTGCCTCCAAGTTCCTGCCCTGTCTGAGTTCCTGCTGTGGCTTCTCTCAATGAACTGTGACTTAGGATGTGGAAGCCAAACAAACCCTCTCCTCCCCAAGTTGCTTTTGGTCACGGTGTTTCATCACAGTGATAGGAACGCTAACTAAGACAGGCCTTGTCAAGCAGGAACTACTTAGTAAATGTCAGCCTGTGTCCACTGGTGGCAGCATGTGGATCGCCACTGAGCTACGGATGCCACCATTTCTGCTGGCGCAGTCGTGGGAGAAGTCGCGTAGAATTGACTGCCCACAAGGCCCTGCGGTGACTCTCTCACAGGACAGAGTTGGCTTCCATTTCCTCGGAGGAATTCTTACTGATGCCTGCGGAAGTGTGGTAGCAGGAGCTGGAAGGAAGCACAGACCTAAAGACCATACACTGTCTCAGACCAGGCCAGGCCACTCCTGCTATATGGTTCGGCTAACCCCTGCTCATGTAGCTCTTCTGTGGTGGGGTACTCTTCCATTAGATCCCCCTCTTGAACCACTGCTACTATCAAAAATGTCTCCAAGTATCCATGATTATTCCCTAGGTGGCTAAAACCACTCCTGGTAGAGAACCAGTGATCTAGAAGATTCTGAGCATGGGGGCTATGATGACCCATGACATTGGCTATCTGTTTCCAACATTCCTAGACTTTTGTCTGGCAGTGTGAAGAGGCCTGCTGGCCTTCAGGCATGAAAGTCACTGATGCCTGTCCTGGTAACCGGGGTGGCATGTGGCTGTCCTACTTCTCCTGGGTCAGCAGCTACTTCTGGAAATAGCTGAGAGCCGGCACTAAGGAGGCAGAGCACAAAGTCAGCGAACATTCTGATCAGGAGGGAAAGAAAGCCACCTTTCCCCCTGTGGCTGGCTACCCAGGAAGCTCCTGCTTCCCCTCAGACCACATGCAGAGAAGGGAGCCTGGGTCATCCTTCTAATGAGGCTGCCTAACATGGTATATGGAGCAGACCCCTGCCCTGCAGGGGGCGGAGACAGAGTGTCAGCCTTTGAGATCTGAGCGCACAGGGGCTGAAGGTTGACTAACCAGGGGACGGTTCTCCAGTGTGAGAAGCTTTGGGAGGGACTGACGAGGGTCTACAGGGTCCATGGGAGAAGAGCAAACACCTATATTTTCATCGTATAGTTTCCTAAAAAAGTAAGCACTATGAAAAAGACAAGTAGGAGCTGGAGAGATGGCTCAGCGGTTAAGAGCACTGACTGTTCTCCCAGAGGTCCTGAGTTCAATTCCCAGCACCCACATGGTGGCTCACAACCAACTGTAAATAAGATCTGGTGCTCTCTTCTGACAGAACACTGTATACATAACAAATAAACAAATATTTTTTAAAAAAAGACAAGTAATTTGTAGGATACTATGTCTTAATTCTACATGGGAGTCCTGTTTTAGAAAACAAACAAAACCACAGAAGGAAAAGAATGTAAGAAAGACTTGTGTGAATGTGGGTACTCACTAAGGGTGTGGCCTTAGCGTGTCACGGTTCTCAGGGAATGAATGTCAGATATGAGGCATGAAACAGGTTCTAACCCTCCCTCCAATTAAAGTTCCCTAAGTTAACAACTTGGTCAAAGCTAAGCAGTGTCACACTACTGCCACCTTCTGGTCAGGTCCTAGAATTGCCAGTATAATACCCATAGACAAAACAAACAACAAATGCCACCCCCCCCCCCACACGATCAAATTAAAACAAAGACACTGAAGAAGTTATAGTCTTTATCCTCAGTGATTGCTGGAGCCTCTCTGTTCTCAAATTTGAGGTTGCTGACCTTTCTTGGATGGGGTGCAGCAGAAGCTATGAGAGATAACAAAACAAAGTGCAGCCCATCACCAGAGCTACGGCGCATTAAAATAGGCATGCAAAATATTTCCACAATGGGAAAAAGACTTGAAAATTAGCAAAACAAGCACTTCCAGGTCAGGACCCACTGACTAATAACCATAGATCTTAGCAGGAAGGCATATAATTGACTGGAGCCCCACCCCCAGAATCGTGCAGGCACGCGGGTACCAGTACACACACAGAGACATCGGGTACAACTTCCCTGTAGAAACATAAAAGACTGAATGGTGTCTGTGCTTAACACTGCCAAAGCTGCATGAACCCGGGAGCCTGAAGGGAGACCGCGGAGTGCTGAGAAGTCATATGAAGAAATGTGTTCACCATGGCAGCCAGACACTGAGGCAGAAGATGAACTGTTGGATTGAAGCAATCTGGGGAAGGGTGGAGCTATCAGAACAAGCTGACAGTCGGGGAGGAGGGGTAAGGAGGGGTGAGGGCGCTGCTGTCACAGTGATGACCACGGCTGAGGCCATCAGCCAGGGCTGCCACTTGCAAGGGATGGTGTGGGTATGGGTATCTGTGGTGGTGGGGGGAGTGGCAGACTGGGCCAGACACTCCGGAACACCGGAAGACTAACGCACAGGGGCCTTGACATTGGTTCTCGCCCTTGGCACAGAGGTGATGCATCTAAAACAAACATCTTCCTTTGAAGTGGGCGACGACAACCAAGTCTGCTATAGATGGCCCTCCAGGGCCCACTCGCAGCAGGGGTGCTCGCTCCTGCCCAACACTTCCAGAGAAAATTACTCATAAGAAGAGGATTAATAAAAAATAAAAAATTACAGGCTTGCAGTAAGGGTTGAGGAAAGCCTCAGCCAATAGTTGTTGCAGAGATAATTGTTCTGAATCTATCAATAATGCTAAGCTCCTCTTCATTGACTGCAAACACCAATTTCTTTCACCCAGGATTATAAGTTGGTGTTCCTGGGCTCACTACTGCCATTACGGTGATAAACAGTTGAGGCCACAACAGCATCTGACATGTAGATCAATTCTGGGTCCATAAAGCGTCTACACAAGAGGTTCCAGGACAGGAATTTACAGCCACCAGTTTTTATTCTCTCTTGCTGCAAAAATTACTTCTGTCAAACACTTAGGAGAGTGAGGAAAAATGTAAAAAAATTAATTTTTCATGTACTACTGGAACAGCCTTTTCCAGTGCAGAAGTGCAAGACGAATATACTCGGCGTTTAAAAAATTACACGGCGCAGCATGTGGTACTTAGCGGAAGAGGGATCCAATCCCCGGTGTTGCTCGCAAGCCAGCAGACAGCAATTTGAAACCCTGAACAGAGCTGTCTGGATTTTCTCTGAGGGCAGATGCCGGGCTCACGTTAGCAATGCCAAATTATATTAGACGTTTAATTTTAAACCTCAGGTATTTAAATGTAAAGCCCTCCAACAGTAATAGCTATAAAGCAGTGGGGCATTCCATCTCACAGAATGGGTTCCTCTTGCCTTCTCCTCTTAATTCCGCCAGCGCCTCCTTCCTCCAGTTCTACCCACTACAAAGTCATCTATCTAATTAGGAGCTGCTCGCAGTTGCTTAGAGGCAGAAGCCCCAGGGGTACCTGTGTGTCAAAGGGGAAAGATTGAAAAGTTCTCTGAAGCTGAAATCTTAATTCAGGGTGGACGAGAGGGCAGAGAAAACAGACTTCTAGTGCCGGGCTGGAAGACATAAGCCCTTCACCATGCTGGTGGAGGTCAGGTCTAACGCTTCTGGGCCCTGGCTGCACCACTGCCGTGGGGCAAGCTGCTGATAACCTTGACATACAGACCAGAGACCAGTGGTGTGCGTGGGGGTGAGGTTAGGTGGTGAAGAATGTGAGTATAAAAAGAAGGGTCTGGTATCAACTAAGTAAACAGAAGACATGATGGACAGACCTCATGCTTGTCTCCTTGGTTACTGCCATGAAGCACTGAAGGGGAGTGTTTGGCAATGGGAGGTCTTATCATGCACACACACACACACACACACACACACACACACACACACACAATTTTACGTAAGTGTCCCAGAGGATCCTGTGCTCCTCTGTTCCTTTAAAATGGTGGGGTTTTGGGGCTGGCCCCTGATGGATCTGTGCACTAAAGGTGGGATGGTACTAACCAGAGGGAGGTGGTACATGGTACTCCAGTGTTTGGGAGCAGCCTGGGCTCCTGCCCTTCTGCCAACTCCTGGGAAGTGTCTGTCAGATACCCCTTGGTTCAGATCTCCTTTCCTGACCTCACTCCTCTCTTGCTTTTGGCCAGTCTGGCCTGGAAGCATCTGCCTGGCCCCGTCTGCTGGAGCACTGTGGAACAACCAGAAGTAAGATGGTGTTTACCCAAAGGCAGCGTCCTGCTGCAGCAGCTGGTGGGTCCACAGGGAAGACCTGATGTGGAATCTTTTAATTAGAACAAATTATGCTAAAATGACTCTCAAACCCGGTCTGATAGATTATATACAACAGTGGGAATTCCCTTAAATACCGGTGAACAGGCCACAGACAGAATGCCACAGCAAAGCGAGCACCAGTCAGCTCGCGGGCACACTGCATAATTCATGTTGTCACACATACGTCAAAAGGCGGTTTCCAGGGTGCCACATCTGTCCCCCAAGAAGCAGGCCACACTTGTCAAAAACTGTGGGAATCCAGGAGAGATGATGGCAGAGGGGATTCCCCAGAACTTAGAAGCTACCCCAGGAACCCTGAAGACTAAGAGGCAGAATGAACTGACTGAGCAGTACAAACGATGTGCAGGTGGCGAGACGCTGGCATTCACACAGGGCAGGAGACTGGCATGAAACACCCGCCATCCCCTTTCCACCTCACTATATCCCTGTCACATAACCACAGGTGACACACTTGCCCCATCCGCAGCCTCAACGTCCAAATCTGACCAGTGAAGAAGAGTCAAGGTCTACACCCTGACCAGAGAACGGATGAATGATGGGATGTGCACGAGACAGGAGAGCTAGGACAGAGTGCTCACAGATGACTGGTGAGACATGTGTGTCACTGTCATCGCAGCCCCAGGGCACCGTGCTCCCTGGGGAGCATGGATGCCCCGGGCATTAAGCCCAGCCCTGGGCTTTCACAGAGGACCTGGAGATGGCCACGGTCTGCACCCCCTCTTACCACTGCTGATGGCGGAGTTTGCAATGACTGTAGCGTCACTCCACTGGTCGGCACTGGAGACTGAGTAGGAGCGCTGGTGCATGCTGTCGGGTCGGCTGTTGAAGGAGACCAGGCTGATGCCGCTTGCCATCTGAGACCCAGACGCATTAGTGACATTCCCTAGGAATAAACAAGTCAGATGAACACCACGACGGACTGCAGACCACAGAAGCCAGCAGGACCTCGTCTACGGGGCTTCACGGGGGCACACGTACCTGACCTGCGCACTCTGCCGTCATCCTGCCTACACGGCAAATCGAAGGACGCATCGCATAGCACAAGATCATGGAGGAAAAGGGTGCTGTGAGCCCCAATGGTGCCCCACTGAGCAATGGTGAAGGAAGACAACTGCCCACAAAACTATTACAGACGGGGGGCCCGACTACCATCTCTAAGACAAGAGAACCAGCCAGTCCAGGGAAAGAGCCACCACAGGACAAAAAGAATACCATCCACACAGGCTCACCCACTGGGAGTCAACTGTCTGGTACCAGGGGACCTTGTTCATGGGGCAGCTATCCTGTATGATCAACACATACCCTCACTCCTGACCTCGTAAAGATTCTGCAGAATAAAAAAATCACCCCCGTGGCTTCAGAGCTCACATGGACAGTGAAGAAAGAAAGATAGTTCTGTTGTAGGCTTAATGACCTGATTAATTTGCTCAAAATCAAAATACGTTATTGGTCACACCAATTTTAGACTCAAAAATATAATTAGGTGCTTTTTTCCTAAGGCTCAACCAATCATGTCCACAGCTTGTGAATGGGTCTGTTAGAGAGATATGTGGATCTTTGAAGATACTGGCTTTTTTTTTTTTTTTTTTTTTTTTTTTTAAAGTCAGGGTCTCTCTACATAGCCCCGGTTGTCCAGGAATTTACTACATAGACCAGGTGGCCTCAAACTCACAGAGAAGGTGTGCCCAGCTACTGGTGTCATAATTTTTAATTTTCCTAGTAGTTTTGGTTCAGAACCCAGTAAGTTCTAAACTGTTTCAGTGGAAAGTTTTCATGAGGTGGGGTGGTTAAGTGAGTGGCCCATTAGTAGTTCCCAAGTCTGGCCAACTTTCAGATTTTTCTCCTTGAAAACCAGGTGCTTAAAAAAAAAATCAGAGTTCTGATTTTGGTGGATAAGGGATAGGGCTGGAAGAATATGCATTCTTATGTACTCACACAAGAATGCGCGCGCGCGCACACACACACACACACACACACACACACACGTTAGAGCTCTTTGCTAAGAGGCAGTATGGAACAGACACTACGATATGCTAAGTGAAGCCTGCACACACATACACATACACACACACACACACACACACACACACACGCGTTAGAGCTCTTTGCTAAGAGGCAGTATGGAACAGACACTACGATATGCTAAGTGAAGCCTGCACTGATTATTTTTCTCATTGCCATGACAAAACACCTGAAGAAGGCCACTTATGGGAGTGATGGGAGAGGCTCCTCCTGGGTCTTCCAGGTCCTCTAAGCCTATCCAGTCTACAGAGACTCCTGCCAGTTAGCGACATGTCAGGACGATTCTGCCTACATGCATTTTTAAGCCAGCTTTAGGCCCACAAGGCCCAAATACCCAAGAAACTCAAAATGAACGTGTCCATCTTTGGTCCATGATGATGATAATGCTCACCATCACAGCCAATGTTTCCTTTGTCCATTCTCTAACAAGGATGTCCTGATGGCCAGCTTTAATCACCAATTTGACATACTTTAGAATCACCTGGGAAGGTAGCTTCAGTAAGCGTGGCCTGTGGTTCATCTTAACCGATGTGAGAAGGGCCATCCTGAAGTGGGTGGCTCCATTCCCTGGCTTTGGGCCCTGAACTGTAATAAGAGTATATGAAGTGTGCTGAACAGTCAGGAAGGCACACTTACTCTCTCTGCTCCTGACTGTGGATACAATGTGACCAGATGCTTCAAATTCTTGTCCTGACTTCCCGCAATGAAGGACTACAACCTGGAGTTGGGAGCTGAAATAACCCTTTCTCCCTGAAGTTGCCTTTTGTCAGGGCATTTTATCACAGTGACAGAAACAAAACTAACAGGTGTCCGAACTTTTGACACTGTCATCTACAAAGTTCGCACTTGAGATTGGGGTAATCAAGTTACAGTGAATAAATACAACCGCCCAAAAGCTTAAGTGATTGTGTGTTTGGCTACATTCACAACTTTCTTCAGCCCCATGTAACCTGGAAGCTGGACACCCTTGCTGGAGGGTGGGTCTACATGTCACAGACCTATAACCTTCTACCATGGTTTTCCTGAAAGGCCAAGGAAAGGATTCCTAGGTCGTTGTCACTGTCTACGGAAACAGGCCTTGGAGGGACACTTGGACTGCCCAGGCGGCCAGTCCTTCTGGACCCACAGGAGCACAAAACATTCAGATGGAGATGTCAGAAGGACCAGCTCGGGGTTGCCCGGGCTCTGTCTGGTGGTCGGACGGCAAACTGGAAAAGGAAGGCAGGTTTTCTTAAAGTGTACGTGCCACCGAAAGCACACGCCAAGGCTGCTTATGCACTCCTGGTTGCTCCTCTCCACTGCAAGCCTCCTGCTGTTTGCCAAACGACATTTAAGCACCATCTAGATGCATTAAGATACTAGCGAGGCAGCCGCGGGGTCTGGCACAGAGCTCCTGAACAGGACGGAGTCCCCGGGGAACCAAATGGAACCTTAGGTGGCCAAGGACCTCCTAGCCACCCTGGCTGCTCTGAGAAAGCAGGTACCCAGAAGCCCTCGTTTCCCCAGATCCCCAGATCCCAACGGCGAGACTACATTGGAACACCATTTAAGGTGTATGTGACCACAGTTTCAAAGGTAGAACTCTGAGCTGGGTGTCTAGACCTGTGGCCTGGAGGAGTGCCCAGGAAGTGCTCACAGGTAACATTGTGCTTAGGTACAATGACTTTATACTCTAAGTAGAATAAAAATTGGGAGATTCCGTCTCAAAACGACAACCACCACCAAACAGTCCACGGTTTGGGCTAGCAATCGGTTCAGCAGATAAAGACACTGCTCTCTGAGGGCTTGAGTTTGATTCCTGAGACACACGTAGAGGAAGGAGAGAACTGACCCTCTCAAGTTGTCCTTTGATCATAAAATGTCCCAAGAAATAAAGAATTAAAATTGACGGCTTCTGGAATGACTTGGCCATGCCAGTGTCTGCCAGCTGTGGCCCTGGCTTTGCTCCTGGCACAATGAGCTGAGACAGTATGGGCTGACTTACCCAAATCACGGCCTTGCCATCTACTCAACACCCTGCCCACTGGTTCCTACTCTCTCACGACAAAGTTAAAGAGTTCTCTGAACACAGGGGGATATGCTAGAAAGCTAACAATTCTGGTTCTCCTCCACGGGAGAAAAACTCTGTATTTGTATGTACTAACTGGTTCCATTTCCACGCGAGTTAAAGACTTGTACCGATTGTGACACAATAAACTAAAAAGTTTTCTTTGTCAGGCGTGGTGACACACACCTACAGTCCCAGCACTCAGGAGCCAAAGGCAACAGGACGGCCGCAGGTCTGATGCCAGCCTGGCCTCCACAGTGAGCTCCAAGCTATCTAATGAGATCTCATCTCAAAACAATGACAACACATTAAAAAAAAAAAAAGATACCCTCAGGGCTGACACAGGAATGCATTTGTCAAACTGAAAATAAGAAAAATATGAACATTATGAAATGATGTTTCTACACCTAATATACAGTTCAGAAGTTCACAAGCAAGTATTGTTTTTAAACATAAATATATAAGGAGAAATGTGAAACTTGGGGGCAAACCACTGTCCGGGGCTGCACATAACACATGGATGTGGTGAGCTGGCCCATTAGGGCCAGGATACCGTTCCCAGGATGCACATTTCTGACCAGTAGTCACACTTTGAAGCATTTCTATGCCTTCAGAAAGTCTGCCAGGCAAAGGAACCAAGCCTACAATGTTTACAGAGTACTTTTTTTTTAGTACCTATACCCATTTCTAATTGTACCCACGGCACAATTTCTATTCTATTTTTTTTTCCTGTTGCTAAAATAAAAACACACCAACCAAAAAACAGAAAAAGCAGCTTAGGGGAAGAAATTCTTCAGTTAGTTGATAATTCCTGGTCACAGTCCATCACTGAGAGAAGTCAGGGCAAGAACTCAAGCAAGAACTTGAAGCAGAAAGTATGGAGGAACACTGTTTACTGGCTCACAGACTGATGCATGTTTAATTAGTGTTCTTATACAGCCTAGGGAATGGTGCTGCTCACAGTGGGCTGGGCTCTCTTATTTCAGACAGTAATCAGGACATCCACCACAGACAGGCATGCCCACAGGCCAATATGATCTGGGCAATCCATCAGCTGAGACTCTCTTCTCAGGTGGTTCTAGGCTCCGTCACCATGACAGTTAAAGCTGACTAAGGCAGTATCTAATGCTTCTTTTTTAAATACACCCATGAACATGTAACATGTAGTTCCATTTCTGTTCCCAAGTGACAATCACTAATTGACCAAATATTACTGTCCCCATGCCCAGTGTTCACAGGGGAGTACCTGGCTGGACCTGCCTATGACACCGCATAAAGAGCTCGCACTTCTGCAAACACCTATACACACAATGAGTGGCTACACTTAAGATACTTTCATTCTCCAAGCACTCGAGGGATAGGGTTCTCATTGGATGGCAATTCACTTCATGCTGGCGAGTTATTAATTAGGCCAAGAAGCGGGAGTCCTTATCTGGGAAGGATGCTGATGACTTTGACTGTCTGAGAGCTAAGGACCTTGACCTCAAGACCACTTAAGACAGAAGTGTGTATAAGCACCGTCTCAAATACCGTCAAAGCCATGCTGAAGTATGCCAGTGATGCAGGGGCTGGCTTTGCTCCCTACCATTATGTTGAAGGGCTGGGGACCCTGTAACTACATGGTGCTGATGCTGTTACACAGTTAGTGAAGCCTGTACCTACACCAGCTATGACTAGAGTATGTTCTGAGCTCTTGCTACCCAGTGTTAGAACAGCCAACTGCATGATGGTCAATAGGACCAACTATAAACTAAGCATGCCAGGAGACGCGCAAGACACAATCACACCCCAAGCTGGAGCTGCTGGCTCCAAGC